GTGGAGGATTTTTGCATCTATCCTCATAAGGGACATTGAATTGTAGTTTTCTTGTAGTGTCATTCTGGCTTTGGAATCAAAGCCAGAATGGTCTTGTAGAATGAGCTAGGAAGTGTTTCCTTCTCTTCAACTTTTTCTCCACAGGAAAAAAAGAATTTTACAGAAACCATCTCTAAGAAGTCCAGACATTGGGACTGATAGACAAAGATGTTAAATCAACTGTATTTAATATGTTCAATAAGCTAAAGGAAATCAGGAGAACAACGTATGAACAAAGAGGGGATATCAATAAAGACAGAAATTATAAAAAGAAACCAAATAGGGCCAGCCCCGTGGCTTGGCGGTTAAGTGCGCGTACTCTGCTGCTGGCGACCCAGGTTCAGATCCCGGGCGCACACCGACGCACCACTTCTCCAGCCATGCTGAGGCCATGTCCCATGCACAGCAACTAGAAGGATGTGCAGCTATGACATACAACTATCTACTGGGGCTTTCGGGGAAACAAATAAAAAAAAAAAAAAAAAAAAAAAGAAAAGAAACCAAATAGAAAATCTGGAGCTGAAAAGTACAATAGCTGAGATGAAAATTCACTAGGGAGGTTCTATAACAGATTTGAGCAGGCAGAAGAAAGGGTCAGGAAATTTGAGGATAAGGACATTGAAATTACCCAGTTTGAGGAGCAGAAATAAAAAAGAATGAAGAAAAATGGAAGAGCTAGAGAGACCTATGGGACACCATCAAGAGTACTGGCACACACATCAGGGCAGTTGTAGAAAGAGGGGAGAGAGAAGGGGGCATATAAGTATTTGAAGGAATAATGGCCCCGAACTCCCCAAATGTGATGAACAACATGAATCTATGTATCCGAGAATCTCAACAAACTCCAAGTAGGATAAAGTCAAAGAGATCCACACCAAGACACATTATAGTCAAATTGTCAAATGCAAAGTGAGAGAGAATCTTGAAAGCAGCAAGAGAGAAACAACTTGTCACATACAAGAGATCCTCAGTAAGATTTTCAGCAGATTTCTCATTAGAAGCCTTGGAGACCAGAAAGCAGTGGGATGACATATTTAAAGTCTTGAAAGAAAAAAACCCTATCAACCAAAAATTCCATATCCAATAAAACTATCTTTCAAAAATGAAGGAGAAAGTAAGGTGTTTCCAGCTAAATAAAAGCTTAGGGAGTTCATTATAAGTAGACTTACCCTACAAGAAATGCTGAAAAGAGCCCTTCAGGCTAAAATGAAAGGACAATAGATAGTTACTCAAAGCCATATGAAGAAATATAGAACACTGGTAAAGGTAACTACATAGGAAAATATATAAAAGCTGGTTTTATTGCAGCTTTGGTTTGTAACACCTCTTTTTTTCCTCTATATTTAGGTTTAAAAGGCAAATGCATGAAACAATAATTATAAATATGTTAATGGGCACACAATATATAAAGATGTGTCTGTGACAATAGGGGAAGAGATAGAGATGTATGGGAGCAGAGTGTTTGTATACTATTGAAATTAAATTGGTATTATGCAAACTAGGCTGTTATAAGTTTAAGGTTTCAATCGTAATTCCCAAGGAAACCACTAAGAAAATACTGAAAAAATATACAGAAAAGGAAAGAAGAAGGAAATCAAAATGGTACACTACAAAAAATCAACCAAATACCAAAAAAGGCAGTAATGGAGGAATTGAGGAACAAAAACCATATAAGAAATACAGAAAACAAATGACTAAATAGAAGTAAATTCTTTCTTTTCAGTAATCACTTTAAATGTAAATGGACTAAACTCTCCAATTAAAAGGCAGAGATTGGCAGAGTGCATTAAAAAACATGATCCATCTACATCTGTGTACAAGAGATTCACTTTAGATACAAAGACACAAAGAGGTTGAAAGTAAAAGGATGGAATAAGACATTCTGTGCAAATAGCAACCAAAGAGAGCTGGGTGGCTATACTATCATCACATATAAAATGGGTTGTACCTGCCTGGCTCATATTGAAAGAGCACGATTTCTGTCTTTGCAATCTCTTAATGCTTATGGAATAATAAAACTGTTTAATTGTTTTCAACCTTTGTGGAGAGGACTCACTGGGTTGGCAGGAGACTTATTTTGAATTGTTTGTCCCACCAGTGTCCATTAACTCCCTCATCCCTGTCATGTCTTGCATGGACCCACCCTGCTGCTCTGCCCCACAACCATCTGCTTCCCTTTATCTGCTCCACTTTTTCTTTCTGAATACATCCTAGCTAACTTACTCATTCTTTATGTTTGTGCCTCTCTCCTTTGCCCACAGACACGGGCAGGGGTCCGTGTCTGTGTTGTTCACTGGCACTACATGAGCACTGGTGAATAAATGAATGAATGAGTCTAATGGGCAGCTCAGACTTACTAAGTCCAAACACAACTCCTGCTGCTGTGTCCCCATCTCAGCCTGTGGAGCTCCGCCCTCCAGTCACTGAGGCCAAAACGTTGGTCTGTTTTACTCATACCTGTGTGGGGTCACTCCATGGTCCCCCTGCCTGCCATACCCCACCTCTCACCTTCGGGTCCTGTTAGAACCAGGCAGCTTGTTGCCCCTGGCCTCTGCAGTCTGCTCACACGTGGCCGGGACCACCCTATCTACATGGCTCCCCCTCCCACACTTCCTGTTTGCTTTCCTGGCCTCCTTCTTCCACCCTCACGCTGGCCCTGGACACCCCAGATAATTTCTGTATTTAGCCTGTGGTCTGTCTCCCCCACGCAGAGGTCAGCTCCAGGTGGGGTGACCGCTGTCCCCCGTTCGCCTGGCTTTAGGGCTGAGAATCCAGACCCGAGAAGCCCCTCAGTCCGGGGCTGCCCCAGCCTTGGTCCCCAGCTGCAAGGGGTGGGATCTTTGTCTGAGTGCTGGGTCAGTGCGGCACCCTGGGGTGCTCAGCACCTGCTTGAGGAATGAATGAAGGAATGAATGAATGAACAAGGCACACAGCGGTCAGGAGGCTCACCCCAGTTAAACTGTGAACCCTGGCCTGGGCCACCTTGCCACATCCCTTAGTCACTCCCCATGCTGGGACCTGAGTTCATCAGCACTCTTCTTCTGGGCAGGTGTGGCCTGGGGTGGGGATGGGGTCTCTGGCCGGAGGTAGGGGGTGTTACTGGCCAAGGCAGTGGGCCTGTTGTGGGGCACTGGGTGTGGTCCCCGATCCTGAGTGGAGGTGGGATGGCGCGTCTCTCCAACAGGGCGCGGAGCACTACTTGGTGGCAGCACACGTGGGCAGCTGGGCCCAAGCATGCCCCTCCCCACGCATTCCCTGTGGCCCTGAAGGTCCTCAGTCCTGGAGAGGAGCGGTCATCACCTCTGTTGGGGCCTCAGTTTTGCCATCTGTGGGACGGCCAGGGCTGTGTTGAAGTGAGGGAGCCTGCACCTGGTCAGCTCCCATGACCCCTTCCTGGAAATGCCCCCCCCACAACCTCCAGCGGGCAAGGATTCCGGGGTAGCCCTGGGTCAGGGCGGGGGTCTCCACGCTCAGAAAGGGGGCCCATGGATGGTCCAAGCATGGGAGCAGGAACTTGGAGCGGGCTGGCCCAGCCAGTGCCGGGATTCTGGTCCCCCACGGGACCCCGTGCCTCGATGTGGGCGGAGCACCAGGTGTTGACAGGGGTCTCCGGGGGGCCCCGCCCCATCCCCCACAATGGGGACATGCGGTGAGCGCAGAGCTGCAGCCCGCCCCATGACCCCGACCCGGGCAGGGGTGGGGGAGCCTCCCTGCTCCCGCCCCACCCCGCTCTCCAGCCCCTGACCTTGGAGCCTGGTGTGCCCCCTCATCAGTGCCTTTATGGTGACGCTGGGTGGGGGGCTTCCAGAAAGGGGCGGGTACCCCCTGTGAATCATCAGGGGGCGGGTCTTTGGGCTGAGCTGCAGGCCTGTGCATGGGCAGACGCCCCTCTCCCTCCCACACACACGGGGAGCGGGGGTGTCGGGGGTGTTGGTTGTCCCCAGATGTCCTCGGATACAGCCTGGGGGGCTCCTACGTGGGGGGAGGCAGGCTGCATCCTGCAGCTGTGGTTCCCCCGTCGCCCCTGGCGGCAGGCAGTCACGACCTCAGCCCCATTTTAACACCTGCCCCCACAATCATCCACACCACATGCCCTGAGGACCTACCCTGCCCTGCAGACCCCATCTCTGTCCTCAAGGGAAGAGGTGAACCAGATGGACAGGTGTTTACTGAGTGAGGGGGCATGCTGGCTTTCCCACCCCCCAGTCTGCTGGGGCAGCAGCCCATTAAGGGAGGGAGGAGAAGGCCCAGTGGGTGTGGCGGCTGAAGGAAGGACAGCTGAGCCAGGGCCTGGAGGTGGGAGTGCATTTGCAGACGGCAGCACTATCGACCACCCAGGGGCCAGGCCTGGGGTGCCTGTCCCTGGGTGCACTGCCGTCAGCTGGAGAGACGCCCAGACTCCAGAGGGGCAGCTGGGAAGGGGCAGCGGGGTGGTCCTTGTGGGCTGGCATGCAAGTTCTGTGAGGGCTGAGCTGGCCGGCCAACTGCTGTGACCCCTGGCCTGGGGCCTGGAAGTCATGCTGCAGAGCCAAGGGTCCCTCTGTGGTCCATGAGCACAGATGGCACATGGTGGCGCTCAATGAGGGTGACATGTCTGAGAATGGCACATCCTGGCAGGTGGTCCCTGAGGCCACTGGAAGTGGCCAGCCCTCACTGAACCGGCCCGGCTCGGGGGCTGGGGAGTGGAAGGGGGCCGGGGAGTGGAAGGGGGCCTGACCTCTGTGGGGGTGGGGCAGGGTGGGTGCTCCTGGTGGCGGGCAGCAGCCCAGTTCTTAGCAGAGTCCTTGAGGGGACAGTGGAGGGAGAGCTGGGGGGCTTGTGAGGTGGGGACTGGGTGAAGGCCCAGCCTGGGCAGCAAGGAGCCATGAAGCATGTGGACCCCAGCCAGCATGGGGATGCTCAGGCAGAAGCTGGAGATGGTCCTGGCCCCCTGGGCCTGGTCAGCTACAGAGAGGACGGGGTCACACCCTGCACGCCAGAGCCCTGGGCTCTGGCAGCCAGGGGGCAGGGGCCAAGCCCTTGTCCTCAGGGCCAGGGACAGTGTCTGTGACCACGGGTCGTCCAGAGAGAGCCTGGACCAAGCTGAGATAGGGCAAGTCAGGGTCTGGGCCATCTGGGGAAGGGGGCAGCCCGCCCAGCCACTCTGTTGGCTCCCACCCAGGGGGTTCAGGAAAGGGCTGAAGGCCAGCTTGAGGGCCTCCATGGAACTGCAGGCCTCTGGGGAGCTGGAAGGTGCCTGGGTCCCACACCAGGGGCCAGGTGAGACCACTCCCACACCCTGAGGCTTGGCCTTCGCTGTCAGAAGCTTGGGGTGCCCCGATGTGAGCTGGCCCCCTGCGACAGCCCAGGAGTCCAGCTCTGGCACTTTTTTGTTCTTGATGAGACAGCCGGCCTCACTCTGCTGTCCCCTGGGTGGCAGCTGGGGAGAGAGGAATGGGGGCTGGCTCAGTGGCCCAGTACCGACCTCGTCTGGGGGCACACCCTCCCCCATTGTCGGGCGGGAGGAAGGAGAGGGAGCTGCAGACCCCAACGCAGGGCTCACTGGGCAGGCCCTTCCCAGGCTACCTGGACCTGGAGAGCCAGTGCCCACGCAGCAGGCACATGTCCCATCTCCAGAAGGAGCCCCTGCACCCCAAGAGCAGTATGCACCCCCTCATGTCTCTCACTTGAGCTGGGCCCAGACCGTCCCACAGTTCACGGGCCTGTCCCTGGGACCCTGGGACTCGCCCGGTGTGGCACTGGGGCTCGGGAGTGGCCAGGGCCAGCCCTCAGGTCACCTGGCTGGCGGGTAGTGGAGCTCCAGTCCAGACACCAGGCCCCCAGGGGTGACCTTCACCCCTTTGGCCTGTGAGCTGCGGAGGTGACCTTTGCTGGGGAATGGGACCCAGACTTGGCTGAAAAGCTCTGCTGGGGGGTAGGAGGAGGTGGAGGACACAGGTCTGAGATCCTTAGCAGGCCCTGGGGCATTTCCTGGAGGAGGGGCAGGCTTGGGGCTGGCCTGGAATTGCTGTGACTCGGCTGAGCTCCGAGGTGGTTCTGAGACCCTGCGGGGCCCGTCAGGGGGAAGGGTGGTGAGAAGCCCTGGATGCTGTCGCCCCCTCCACCCCTCCTGCCTCTCTGGCTCCTGCAGTCCACCCTCCACCCAGCAGCCAAGAGAGCTTCTGCTCCCCACTCACACCCCAGGGGTCCCCCTGGGCCCCCAGGCAGAGGCTGCCCTCCTGGGCCACACCCAGGACCTGCATGGTTAGTTCTGTCCTGCCAAGCCCAAGGCCCCAGGAGTCTGGGCCTCAGTGGCTGGGCTGGCAAAGGTGGGCGGAGTGACGTTCTGTGTTCCTGGACAGTTGGAACTAGAGCCCTGGTCTGGGTGGTGGACACTCAGGGAGCAGGACACAGCACCACTGACACAGTGTGGCCAGGGAAGCATGCTGGGGAGGCCGGGAGGGGCCAAGACCCCCATGTCAGGGGTAGGGCCAGACCTCCACCACCTGTCTGGTTTGCCTCCACCTTGGCTGGGAAACCTGGCCTGACTTCGAGGCGGGAGGTGGGTGGTGTCACCCCCCACCCCCAGTCTCCTGTGCAGTGCACACCACACCCACTTCTGACAGTGGAAATTGGGATGCCAGGGGCCAGGCTCAGAGCAGAAGCTGGGGTCCAGCCCTTGGCCTCCTGCAGCCCAGCCCCCGAGTGCCCGCCCATCCCTGCCCCCTCCAGCCTGCAGCCCGGCTCCCACACTCACTGCACTGGAGGTCACACAGCTGCTGGGGGGCGGAGAAGTTCACATCCGTTCTCCAGCCCTGCAGACGTGCACAGTAGGCAACTGGGTCAGCACAGCCTGCAGCCCCTCCCTGCACCCCGCCCGCATGCCCCAGAGGGCCGGCCCAGAGAGAATGCTGGGCTGAAGGGGCCCCCAGAGCAGGCCAGGGCCCTAGGGCAGCTTTGGGGAGACAGGAGCTCCCCTGTCAGCTGATGCCAGGGGGGAAACTGAGGTCTGGGAGTGGAGTAGGTGGGTGGGGGCTGGGCAGGGCAGCACCACCCACCTGGATGCAGGTGCCAGGCACACAGGCCTCATCCCCAGGAATCTCCACAAAGGCAACCGCAGGGTCAGCTGTGAGGTCACCCTGGATTGGGGGTGGGTTGGTCTTCAGGTGGGGGGGCGGGGCAGACCAGACCACACCGCGTCCCCATCCCACATGCACACCTATGTGCGTGGTGCAGAGGTGTCAGCCCTCTCAGCACTGTCCCTCCCAGGTGGCCTCCAGGGAGGTTGAGAGGACTGCAGGGAAGCGAGGGGTCAGCCTCCCTCCCCAGGATGGTGCCCACCCCACCCGGCTCTCACAGAGGTTGGAGGGAGGGGGGTGGCCTGGAGCACTGGGCGGCAGGCAGGCGGCCATGTCTTCCTTCCGTGACACAGGTGCACCTGGAAGCGGGCAGGGCTGGGCGAGAAGAAGGTGACCCGGAGGTGGCTCGGAGAGGACGCCGGCTGGACAGTCATCTTCCAGGCTACGGAGGTGGAGGGGTGAGGCCAGCACCCCACCCACCTCCCCTCCCCCCTCCCACTGACCCAGCACCCTGTCATCCTGCCTCCCTGACGAGGAGAAAAGAGCATCATTTGTTGCATTCACACTGCAAAGGCACCGAGCCAGCCCCCCGCCTGCTGCCCCGTGGGGAGCTCACCTGGGAAGTGCTGCTGTTCGAATGGGCACCTCACCCAGAAGTTGAGGCTGGTGGAGAACTGCAGAGAGGCCACGGGAGACGTGGGTGTGGGGTTCGTGTAGGGGTGTTGGGGGCTGGGACAGGCTGGGCCTCCTGAAGGCCCCTCTGGGAGGCTTCCCCACCCTGAGCCCTAGCTCTACCCACTGTCAGACCAGGAAGGGGGTCAGAGGGGCCACTGGGAGTCTGAACCCCAGGGCTGGGCAAGGCATGGGGTGTGTGGCTGCAGGCCCCCTGCCCCGATGCCCAGGCCCCTCTGCGTGCCTCCTCGCCCCCCTCTCCAAGTGCTCATGGTACATGTGGCAGCTGCGGCCTGGCCCACTCACCTTCAGGCAGAGCTGGGGCTGTGTGTCCACCAGCGAGTACCGCACCTGAGGGACGCTCAGGTCAGGGCCCTGGCCATCCACGCCCACCCCCGTCCCCGCCTGATGGGCACTCACCCTGCCATGTGCAGACTGGCCCGAGTGCTCCAGCTCGTGGCAATGGGCCCCTGGCCCTGGGCGCCAGCACAGGCTCACGTGGCCACTCACGGGACAGGCAGGCTCCCAGCTCAGCGCCTGGCTCCCCGGGTGGTAGTGGATGGCGTCCCACAGTGCCTCCATGTCTGCAGGGACCCACCCCCCCAGGCTTGAGTCAGCTGGGCCCTACCTCAGCTGCCAGTGGGCCACAGGACCTAGCACTTGCTTGAGAGACCACTGGGCCAGGTCCAGGAACTCGAGGGCAGTTCTCCTGTGGGTCTCTGGGCCCTGGCCCCAGTCTGTGCGTGCGCAGTGTCACTGAGTGGAACCAAGAGCAGGGTATCCCTCCTGCGGCCCTCAGAGAGCCCCGCTCAACAAGACTTGGTTCTTCCAGGTGGGTCAGGCCATCGCACACGCACACACACTTGTACATCCGTGCACAGACTCTGCCACCTGGAGGGGTCTGCCCAGGACACACCCTTGGCCACGTGCCGTCAAGAGCTGAGGCTGGTCCTGCCCCCAGGCCTCATCCCACTGTCAGCCCTCCCAGCTGGGCCAGGCCAGCTGACCCTTCTGGGCATCTCTGACCCTCGCATCTCCTCCCTGCCTCCTCCTCTCCCCTTGGCACCATAGGGCACTTGCCATCTTCAAAGGGGCAGGTCTGGGTCCGCACTGCATCAGGGGTCGCAGACCAGCCCTGCAGGAGGGGCTAGGGTCAGCGCAGGGCCTGCCCATCCCTTTGTCCCCTCCCGGCAGTCAAGGCCACACCCTCACTGACCTCAAGGCACAGACACGGCAGCTCTCGGCTGTAGGGCAGAGAGATGTTCTGGGAGACCCTGTTGGCTGTCACCTGCAGCAGAGCGGAGGGCTTGGGCACTGGGGGCCGGGTGGGCGGGGCGGGGCCTGGGCCGCTGGCGGGCGGGCTTGGTCGCAGGCAGGCTTGGGCCAGGAGGGGCGAGGCTGTGGGCGTGGCTTGGGGGTCGGCGGGGCGTGGTCTGGGGCGCGGGTTAGGATGGTGCTCACCAGCACGTGGGCGCCGGCATCCTCACAGGTGAACCGCTTGAGGCAGAGCCGCACATAGTAGTCGGGGCCCCCCGGGGCTTCGGGTACCTGTACCCGAACCACCTTGTGGCTGCGGTCCACCCAGTAGGAGAGCTTCTGGGCTGCAGGAGGGCGGCAAATGGGGGCCACAGTAGGACCAGAGGTCACCAGACACAGGATCATGGACACAGAACTCTATCTGTCCTGAGACTCTCGAGGTGGTGACCCCTGCTAGACCCAGGCATTTTGGAGTCACCCACCAGAGGACCCATCATGATTTCCCAAGAGGGGGCAGAAGACCCCAGTGCGAGCAACTTGAGGGTCTTCCCAGGGGCGGGCGGCCGTGGTCCCACCTGAGAACGGGGCCTCACCAAAGCAGTCCGGCATGTTCCTCCTCACGTCCTCATCTCTGCAGGCTGCAAGTGACAGAGGCAATGGTGGGCCCACCCTACTCTACCCCCAGGGGCCTTCCTCACAGCTGGGCCTCTGTTCATGTGGTTTCCAGAAGCTCCTCCCCTCCAGGGAGGCTGGGACCCTGAATTAAGCCAAATGCGCTTGCTAGGAGCTGTCCAGCATGGGGCCCTGCCCGCTGCCCTGGGTGAGTCCCACTCCAAGTCAGTCCCCAGAGGCTGGACGGCAGCTGTGCCCAGGATGGCCCCATGGGTGCCCACCTTCCACGTGGTACTGTTGGTCTAGCTGGACCCCGCAGAAGTGGGGAACAGTCCTCAGGGTGACATAGAGGCTCTGGGCCACGCTCACCTCGAAGCAGTCAAAGTGCACCTGGAGCTGGGCCGGTACAGGTGTGAGCCAGGTGCACCTGGGGCTGCGGCCCACCCCTGGACAGGCCAGCTCCACCTCACACGGCTGGAACCCAGGCTGGGCAGAGCAGGAGGGGGACCCATTCCTTGGGCCTTGGGCGCAGAGCCCCAGGACGGGGTGTGAATTCAGGCAGGGAGGGGAGGATAGCCAGGAGCAGCCCGGGACAGCCGCTACTGCCCGGCAAAGCCTGGGGCTGGACCAGCAGGTCTGGGTCAGGCCCTGGCCTCACCTGCTGCCCCACTTGCAGATGGCGGGAGGCCCTAGAGACCTGCATGCTCTGACACTGTGTCTCCTGGGTGTCGAGGCTCATGGAACAGGCCTCCAGGCCCCGCAGGCTCTCTGGGTGAAGGGAGGGGCCGGCAGGACTGGTCAGACCATGGTGATGAGACCCCTTCCCCACCCCCACTGTGAAGTGCAGTTAGAAGGGTCCCCTGTCCCCACCCCCCGTTGTTGTGAGGATTACAGCCCAGAACCCACCGCCCCACGTCCTGGGTGTTACCACCATCACAGCCAGCTGGGCCCACAATGCCGCCCCTCACCATGCAGCGTGAGGGAGGCATGCACGCGCAGGAGCAGGGAGCAGCCATCGTGGGGGGCACACTTCATGGCGGTGGAGAGCGTCAGGGTCTCCAGGAGCGACCTGGACATGGATGTGGGGGGTTGCCGGCAGAAGCTGTTGAAAACGTTCCCTGGAGAGAGGAGGAGGAGGGCGAGTGCCACAGGGTCCCCTGGCACCAGTCAGGCTTTGTGGGAGGTTGGTTCAGGGGAGAGCTCCAGGCTGCACAGTCTGGGGAGGGGTCCTCACTGTCTTGCCCCAATTCAGTCAGGGAAGCAGCCCCCTGGTGAGTGGTGGGCCCACTGCTGACCACACTCAGAACTGCCTGTGGGCAGCAGGAGTGGGGCCCAGGTCAGAGGAGCGGGCTGCACTTTAGCGTGGGCAGCTGCTGTCCCACCTGGCCAGCAAAGGGGCAGAGGAGACCCTCCTCTGGCACGCCAGCAAGCCCTATCACCCCCTTTCAAAGATGAGCAACAGAAAAGGCATGCCGGGGGCACCTGGACATGACCCCGAGGTGACTGCGGCCCAGGGCTCTGCCCGCAGGCAAGTGGCTGCACTGGCACAGGTGGGACTGCCCCCCTCGGGTCAGGGCCTGGGCCACTGTGGCTGGACTAGTGCCATGCAGGGCAGTTGGCCTGACATCGTGGAGCTGGGGTCTCACTTTCAGGCATTGGGGGCTGAGCGGTATTTGCTGTCTTTGCTCTGCCAGGTTTGCAGGTGGAGACTTGGAGGCCACCGAGCCCTGAGGAGGCCTGTCCCACGGGGCCGGCAGCCCAGGTTCCCTCCTGCACTCAGGGCTGTGGCTCTTCCACAGGCGTGACAGATGGCATTCAGGCCTGGTGATATGTCAGGTGGAGGGAGTGACCCCCAGGGGGACAATGCACCCAGGAAGGGGAAGGTGTGTGTGCTCAGTGGGTGCTTCCAGGGGGCCCAGAATTCCAGGGGCCCCCAAGGCAAACCCTGGGGGCTCTATCAGGAGGTCACCACAGGGCTAAAACTTCAGGGAAGTGAAGGACCAAGGTGTCCAGCCCTGCAGCCCTACCTGAGTGTCAGGAGGAGAGGGACCTCCCCTATGGCCAATGCAAGTGAAAGGAGGGGAAGCAGAGCACGACGGCCAGAGATACACAGACACACCTCTCTGCAGAGAAAGGGAAGCAGAAACAAGCGCTCCCCAGGGGCCACAGCCCCCAAGGGCCTCGATAACTGAGGCGAGGCTGTGGCTTGAGGGGCACAGAGCAGTTGTCCTTCCCCAGGCCAGGGGTCTCAGGCTGCTCCCGCTCAGGGACCTTTCTCCAACCAAAACGCAAGCAGGTAGGCGAGGGAGAAGGCCTGCCCGGAAGGCAGGTGGCCACAGATCCAGGTCTTCAGGGAAGGAGAGGCAGTGGCACTGCCACCGAGGCACGGAGAACACACTGTTAGTGAGTCAGCGGGGAGCCCATCACTCAGCGGAGCCCATGCTGAATGGTTTCAGAAACAGACTCAAAGGAGCAGTGGGAACTGCGGGGTCTGAATGTGTTCATGGGAAAGAAATCCAACTCTGGATCCCCCCGTGGCCCAGATGGAGCCATGAGGATCAGATCTGCCCTCCTGCCAGGAACAGCATGGAAAACCAGATAAAATGTGTGGAGCAATGGCTTCAAGACACTGGACACGAGGAAGCAAAGGGCAGTGATGCTTGAGAGACGGGAACAAATGAGGTGACCTCCACGATGCACCACTGTCCTGAGAGCGTTTCCAGGCAGTGGCAGAGGGAGGGGTAGCTCAGGGGGTGCCTGGCACCCTCCTGAGTTGAGAAAATGGGACAGAGAGTGTGGGGAGAGCAATGTGGCCAGAGTTTGCAGGACAGAGTATGAGAGAGGAGAGAATGATGCACAAAGGATACACAGCAGAGCATCGATCAGCACACGATGTGAGGGAGCTACCAGAGGCAGGGGCAGAACCAGCCAAAAGGATTCGAGGGAATAGTATCCTGCACTCACACGGGGTCAGGAATAGTTGTTGTTTCCAGCCAGACTAGAAACCTTGTGATTCACGGGGCACTGGGCACAGTACATACAAGAGTCTTGCCTCAGGAGGGGAATAACTAGCTTTAGACTAAGCACTGCTCTGGTCCTGCCTAACAGATCTTAAAAGCAAGACCCAAAAAAGATTAAGCTGTTTCCAAGTAACTGAACTGTATTCCAGAAAAGGCTCAAGAATATTTGTAAGAAAAAGAAAATAGATCCAAAATACAACAGGGTAAATTCACAATGTCTACCATCCAATAAAAAATTATAAGCCATGCAAAGAATCAGGAAAACACAACCAATAATGAAGAGAAAAATCGATTGAAACTGACACAGATATTAGAATTAGCAGACAAGAACATTAAAACAATTATTATAACTGTATTCCACATGTTCAAAAAGTTAACTATAGACATGGAATATATTTTAAAAAACCCAAATCCAACCTCTAGAGATAAAAACTACAATGTCTGAGATGAAAAACACATCAGATAGGATTAAGAGTAGACAAGACATTGAAAAAAAACAGATTGGGGAACTTGACATAGAAATAGAAACTATCCAAAAGCAAATGGAAAGAGATGAGATGTTGACGATGATGGTGATGGTGATGGTGATGGTGATGGTGATGGTGATGATAGTGACGGTGACGATGACGATGATGGTGATGATGGTGATGATGATGATGATGATGTTGATGATGATATAATAATAGAACAAAGCATCAGTGAGCTGTAGGACAACTTCAAATGACCTAATGTATGTGTAATTAGGGTCCCTGAAGGAATAGGGTAAATGAAAAAAAGACTTAAAGAAATGATAGACAGAAATTTTCCAAACTTGATGAAAACTATAAACTCACAGATCCATGAAGCTCGATGAGTGCTAAGTATACGATATATAAAGACAATGACATCAAGGCCACCGGAACCAATGTGTTCAAAGCCAGTGATAAAGAGAAAATTGTAAAAGCCAACAGTGGAAGAAAGACATGTTATGTATAGAGCAACAAAGATAAGGATGACAGCAAATTTCTTTTTCTTTTTTTTTTTTAAAGATTTTATTTATTCACTTTTTTCCCCCCAAAGCCCCAGCAGATAGTTGTATGTCATAGGTTCACATCCTTCTAGTTGCTGTACGTGGGACTCAGCCTCACGCTGGACGGAGAAGCGGTGCCTTGGGGCGCGCCCGGGATCCGAACCCGGGCCGCCAGCATCAGAGCGCGCGCACTTAACCGCTAAGCCACGGAGCTGGCCCAGCAAATTTCTTTTTGGAAGCAATGCAAATAGGAAGACAAGGAGAAAAACCTTTAAATTACTGAAAGACAAAACCTGCCAACCTAGAATCTATACCATGTGAAAATCTCCTTCAAAATGAAAGGTAAATAAAGACTTCTTTAGCATACAAAAGCTGAAAGAACTCCTCGCCAAAAGACCCACACTACAAAAAAATGTTAACAAAGTCCTGGTAGGAAGGAAAATGATACCAGATGGAAATTTTATCAAAAGAATGAAGAATACCAGAAATGGGTAATATACAAGATGTTGTATAAAATACCACGTGGGTAAATATACAAGATGTTTTCTTCTTATTTAAATCTGTTTAAAACACAATTGACATGTTTAAGTGAAATAATAATAATGTACGTGGGGTTTAGAACATGTGTAAAAGGGGAAGGTATGAGTACAATATTGCAAATGCCCAGAGGGGAGATGGAACTGTCCTCTGCGGAGACACCTGGGCTACATGTGAAGCGGTGTATTATCACTTGAAGGTAGAATATAATAGCTAAAGATGTATATTATAAACCCCAAAGCAACCACTAAAATAACAAAGCAAAGAGTTAAGTTAATAAGTCAACAATGGAGAAAAAGTGAAATCACACACACAAAAATACTCAATTAATCTAAAAGAAGGCAGAAGAAGAAAAAGCTAATGAAGAAGAGATGGAACAAATAAATAGGAAGGTGATAAATTTAAACCTAACTATATCAATAATCACATTAAATGTAAATGTTTAAATACCATAGGTAAAAGGCAAAGATTTTCAGATTGTATAAAAAAACAAGACCGGGGGCCAGCCTGGTTGCGTAGCGGTTAAGTTCATGTGCTCCACTTTGGTGGCCCGGGGTTCACAAGTTCAGATCCCAGGCGCGGACCTATGCACCACTTACCAAGCCATGCTGTGGCAGGCCTCCCACATATAAAATAGAGGAAGATGGGCACGGATGTTAGTCTAGGGCCAATCTTCTTCCTCAGCAAAAAGAGGAGGATTGGCAACAGATGTTAGTTCAGAGCTAATCTTCCTCACCAAAAAAAAAAAAAAGCAAGAACCAACTGTATGCTGCCTATAAGAAATGCACGTCAAATATAAAGACACAAGTAAGTTAAAAGCAAGAGGATAAGAATGGAAAAAGACATGGCATGCTAATACTAATCCAAAGAAAGTTGGAGTGGCTCTTACTACCAGACAATGTAGATTTCATAGCAAAGAAGATTAGTAGGGATATAGTCATTTCACAACAATAAAGGGAGGAATTCATCAGGAGGACATAACAATCCTAAACATTTATGCACTTAATATCAGAGTTTCACAGTACATGAAACAAAACTGACAAAACTACAAGGAGAAATAGAGAAGTCCACAATTATAGTGGGAGATTTCAGTACTCTCTCTCTATAATTGACAGAACAAGCAGGCAGAAAATCAGAAAGGATATAGTAGGCTTGTACAGTACAATCAACCAAGTTGTCTTGATTGACATTTATAGAACCGCCCCCCATCCCCAGTGACAGATTCTGTGTGCTTTTCAAGTGCACATGGAACATTTATCAAGATAGATCATATTCTGGTCCATAAAACAGTCTCAATAAATTTAAAAGGATTCAGATCATACAAACCATCTTCTCTGACCAAAAATGGAGTTAAATTACACATCATTAAAATATTTCTGAGAAATATCCAAATATTTGGAAACTAAACAATACATGTGTAAATAACCCACGGGCCAAAGAAGAAATGAAAAGGGAAATTGGAAACTACTTTGAACTGAATGAAAATAAAAAGACAATATATTAAAAAATTTGGACGCTGCAAAAGCAGCATTTATGGGGAGATTTG